GTCACACCTGGCTCGTTACAAGTTTAAACTCGACATGATCGACATGGACGGCAGGTGTTTGCTCAATATTTGGTAAATAACTTGTGTTTTTACATCGCGATGTAGTTGTGTCTATAGTCGTGTTCAGGCTACACCAAATACGGGCTTATCGCATATATTTGCATATCGGATAGACTCAATTGTGATCACGCACAAGAGGTAACAGCGGTTAGCTTGGGTACACCCATACAAATTTTCATTCTTTTTAACTATGATTATCCAGTACAGTAAACAGGAAGGTATACATGTTACTGCTACTGTTATAAAATGAATTAACTGATTAACAGGAAGAAGTACAGAGTGTCATCGCCAGTTAAAGGTTCTCGAGAACAATGTTCCTGGATGTGCTCGCGTTGATTGTCATGTCGGAAATAGCACACCGAAATGAATAGTTATGAATATAATAGTGAATCTGCCGAATGAACGTTGAAAACATAGGCGTTTTGGGTGCTTAGCCCGAGCTAATCTTTCGCGCACACTTTGTTAGCCTATGCTAAAGATCAAGGCCGTGTCTTAAAAACAGATTTAACCTGTACCTAGCGTTTCTTAGCACGTGGTAAGCTTACGCGCATATACCGCTATGCGGGAAAAGGTGTGCCGCTCTCCGATCAGGTGGTTGAGTAGAGACGGACATAATCTGGTGGATGAACGGAGACGGCAGTGCTCGATTTTTTTTTTTTTTCAAAAAAAAGTCACGTAATTTTGTATGGGCATGCTTCTTGTTGCAGGTTTTCACGTACGAGTTAATTCATGCTGAAGTGGAGTGGAAGCCACTCAAACTTTCTTTAAAATACATTGCATTATTGGTACAATGGGTATATGTGTGAGTAACCAGACCTGGCCATCGGCACGTAACGTCCCGGTATTTGAGTCATCAGTACCTCACATCCATGAATGTCTGTGTTGTCCCCTGACAACTTGAAGTCAGAGCTGAGGACTACAGCTGTGAAAGTCAGTATCAATATCCGGAATACTCATTGGAGTTGATTGGCAGTATGTTCTCAATATATACATTGATCCAAAATATAAGACATTGAAACGACATAATAAATAATGCTGCACCATTCTTTCATTTCTTGGTTTCAATCACGCCTTCACTTTCATTGAGACTCCCCTTGAACTGAAGAGGAGACTCGTATAGGGTAGATATATTTTGTCTTCCTGATTGGTGTGTTCTTGGACACACCAATTCAAGACTACTGACTGTTCACTTGGTGTAAACGAACCCGTTGCAATGTCAGTAATTGAAGCCGTTTCCATGCCTGCTACCCCCCCCCCCCCCATTTCCATTCTGTGTGACTGTCGCCATGGTTGAGAGAATCGAAATTGTTTATACATGTCTCCTACAAACCAGTTCACACACGACAAGTAGAGAAGATCGCAAATTGTGCTTTTGATAATAATGTAATAACAGGTTTATAGATGCTCAACCATGCCTAGCAACATCCTCGGGACCATGAATTGTGTTCTCCCTTGTAGGAACTAATAAAAAACACGGATTAAGTATACAGGTATGAAACAACTAACGAAACGTTTCAAAAACTACATACATGTATCTGTATAGAAAAAAGCCTTGTTCACATGTACTGAGAAACGGTGGGCTAAACCACGGTTCTTCTATAACTGTGGCTAAACCTACTTATTTTTCATACGTACCAGGAGTTTTTATTTAACTCGGCGTTAACACCTGTTCACGTCTTAATCACTTATCGTTGAATCGTCGCTGAAGGGCGTTGTTTAAACCCTGTGACCCACTAAGTTCAACTTGAAGTTGTTCACACATGTTTCATCTCAGGGTTAAACAAGAAACTCGGGGTCGAGACTGGCCTGCTGAATACGAGTTTAATTAACCCGGGTCGGAACCGAGTTGATCAGTTCAGACGTGTTTTAACAGTGTATTTAAAATTAACTCCGGGTCAGACTCCGTGTGAACACGGTATCTGTAAGTAATATGATAATACAATATATATCGCGGTTTGTACCTTCATGCCAAATAAGCAGTGAGATTTTTTTTTCGATATGTTTCTTCACCCGTAGTACAGGGTTATGCGGATGCTCCGATTCATGTCAACTCGTGCATTTATAATTGAAAAATAATGGAGGTCCCCACCCGCCAACCTATGATGGGCGAAATGACGCTTTGTGCGACATACAGAGCACAATGTGTGCTTGGGTCCCTTGTGGATTGACGGGGAGTTCACCATTGTTATTATCTCTGTCAATGGCAGTGGATTTGCTGCCATTTTATAGCAGAAAGCGTGGAAAAAAGTCTGAAGTAAACGGAACAGTTCTATCACTGGCCCCTGAACATGTATAATTTAAAAAAAGGCGTTCTTGAAATTTTCACACGGACATTCAGAATCTCATATGGCTCAAATAAATTCCGAATGAAACTAGTTTTTATAAAAAAAAATATAAATTGTACTGTAGAAATTTACATTGCGCGTTGACGAATGAATGGTGTGTGGTGTACTAGAGAGTAGCATTTCAGAGAACGCCCGATCTGAATTGTACATGACACGTCGCCCCGGTCACGGTGTCTCAAGCTGGTCCCCGGCCTCATCATTTGCGAATAGTTTCGTCCGGGGTATCCGGGGTACATGTATATAGTCCCTAATAATGTAAATTATCAGGGTAGGTGTAATAGTTATTTTCTGCGGAGGGCGATTACTTTGAAGCTAAAGCAAAATACGAGCGACCCCGGAATTAATCAAAGATGACTGGGAGACCCGTGATTTTGATACGACAGTATAAATAAAAAAAACACATGTGGGAAAAGGAATACTTTCATTCGTTTGTGCAAACTGTGACCTTCACTGTGGAGTCGCTGCGGATGAAATATAAACCGCGTACTACTCGTTACAAAAGCAGAACAAAATGACCTTCCCATACTTGAGCTCTGTAGACATACTCTCACTTCGTTTCTCACATTTGCTTTGACAAATCAACTCTCGGATCATGATTAACCTTCGTTTTAAATACCTTACCTTTCGTCCGTTTCCGAAAACAGTGTATTCATCATTTCCACGGGTCCTTGAATTTGATAATGTACACCTCCATTCGCAAGTAAATTTTTTTCAACACAAAGCTCCAAAAATGCTGATGTTGGTGATTTACGACAACAATAACGAATCCCCCACAGCGCCATATTAGATTCGGAAAACGGTGTAGACGCGATAATGTGTACGACTTCGCTTCGTACATTACCTGTTCATATACCTTTCTCTACATCCAATATGGCTCTGTGTGGATTCATTATCGTTTAAATAATGGGATACATTATTTCGAATTATCTTCAGCACTAGCATGAAAAAGTCAATGGTATTGATTGGTTTGATTTGATTAATGATATAATTACCGATATAGATAGTAAAACAGCGGCCGTAGTGTAAATATGGGTCACCTTATACCGAAAACAAATTCCTAAATATAGCGTATTTTTTCAAGCCCGAGATTGTCTTTAAGCCGTGATTTTTTTTTCGTTTGTATGTCAGCCTTCGGAGATGATTTCTCAATTTGCATAATACGAAATATTATATGTGGCTCCGTATTTCGGAAAAGGCTGGTGCGTGGGAAAACTTAGGGACCTATAGCTGATAACCGGTAACAAAAGAACACGCGATTTAAATTAACGCATTCAATTTACCACCCCGCCCAACTAGACTTGTTAATAAAAAATACTAAAAATGTATAGACATTTTATTGGGTCGACTGTATACACCATGTATCTCAGGTGGGTCCAAAGGTCAATTCAGAGCCAAACAGTGTTATCAGTCGTCACTACGTATTGAAGAAATGGGCGTCTCATAGTGTCACTCGCCAAGCACCTCCTACAAATTCCTCCTACAAAATAATAAATTTCAACATTTGTGTGTACTGCGAAATTAAAGCGCGATGGTTGATATGGGACTCATGACGACGTATACAACGCGTGTCAAATACAGTTTTTGTTTGCATGAAATTTGGACACGCACTGCCCTATGATCACAATCCCTTTAACATGCCATACTTACTGGGTAAGAAAGAGAAATCGGCGTTATAATTACAAATATATCCACAAAGTAAATTGATGTACCTCAAATATGCCAAATACTAGTAATGGGGGTTAAGAACGTGCTCTCAAATGTTAGGAGATAATAAAAAAAAAACTATTGTTAACGTCTCGAACTATTCGTGAAAGTCGTGGCGAAATTAAATGTGGAATTTGACCAAAAAAATGTGCGATTTCAACCCTGCGTGAATTTGATTTTATTATTCTTTACTTATCTCTTGCCAAGTTTATTGTCTGTGTATATAAGCGATTCGGTTCAAAGGTTAGTTGGATCGACGCTCAGCCAATACAAACACTCCAGTCAACTGTTACTAAACTACGCAGTAATGTATTGATTGATTCCGTGCCTTCAGTGTCAGTGGGGTCTGCATGTTCTTTTCACACCACGCGCCGACACGACATTTTTTTTCACAGTGTTTTGTGTCACTGAGTCGTGTTTAGTATCGCTGTTTGTGGGATTATATAGTTGAAAGTCGTCTGAGCTTGGATCAGAAGACAGACTTCATTGTCTGGGGACCATCGGTTAATAGGAGCCTTCTCAGTGAGTGTAATACAGACAAGTATTTTTCTTTTAATTTTGTCATGCTATGTGCTCCCCGCTGATATGCGCTGAAAAATTGTCGCGTGGTATGAACCTGATTCAACTGTATTGAACATACCTCTCATGTTAACACCAATCTGGTACGGGCATTTCACCTCTCTATAACTTATGTGTTGCTTTGTTCGCAGGTACGTACTCGAGAATACAGATAAACAACACGGTTACCAGGGTTACGTTGCCAGCGGCTTCGACACTGTGTATTGCCGCGACCATAGCTTGGCGGGTATTTTTAATCTGCGACTTTTTATGTTGAGCTTTGAACAATATATCATGCCAAAGAACTTGTAGAATTTCAAAGAAGAAATAATCATGTCAAACGGACAACCAACCCGAAGAATTTCACAAGTGTCCCGGCGAACGTCAATGAGCTCTGGCTCGGGGCAAGGCATGGGACAGATGCCTGGCTACGGAGCGTCTCCGGCAGCGGCTCACCGATGGAGAAAACTGTCTCGCACCATGTCGCTGGCGTTGTCGATGGGGCGAAGATTCTCTTACCTGGGGCGGCCATCTGTCGCTGGGATGCACTCTGACCACATGAGAATGCCCAAAATGGAGGTGAAGCTGGAAAACACGTACCAGCTGAAACCGGATGAAGATAAGAAGTACAGTCCCCACGCGGTTAGGACGGTCATGCAGAATATATTGGACTCTACGCTTGACGGTGTTCGATACGACCCAACGTCTTCGGCCATTGTCGCACAAAACCTGACGGATGTTATAAAAACGCGAATCAAGGAATTTAACTATCATCGGTATAAAATCATCGTCACAGTTTATATCGGCTCTCAAAAGGGGCAGAGTCTACAGATGTCGAGTCGAGCCATCTGGGACACCGAAAACGATAATTTTTCCACTGCAACCTATACAAATGAATCGTTATTTTGCGTAGCTTTGGCCCACGGAGTGTACTTCGAATAGAAGTTGTACAAAGACTATGTCAATACTCGAATCAGGTACAATAAATACTAAGTTGCGTGCAATTTCTTTTTTTGGGATCTTGAACTCCATGTATCTGTGCCGCTGTTAACAATATGTAACATGTTGATAAAACTTAACTCTGTTGTTAATTCTACAAAACGTGTCGCGCATAACATTGCTATTCTGATAGCAACAAGGGGTTTCTTTTAATAATAATGTCGAACGGGTTATTTGTCCACCTTTCTATGAGTATGTATAGTCTGGGCATTCGCACCATTTTATCGCTTGGGGTAGTGTGTAACCATAACGACCTGGGTACTTAACAATGCATGCCACGTAAAGGGCGCCTCGTGTTTGGTATGTCAATACACCGATGTTGATACGAATAAGTTATTGTTGCGTCGAGTGTTTTTTCTTCGTTCGAGGTTATATTAGGGCAATCAATTACAATGCTTATAAAACTAGCTACATTAATCAGTTGCAATATCTGGGTAGCTACGATCACGGACAAGCATTTGGAAGATCGCGCTACGTTGAAATGCGACATCACACGTGTAATTTTCCGTTAATTGGGTCAACACAGCGAACGTTGCGAATTCATTTCGGCTCGGTTCAGTATAGCGTTACACACGCTCATTATTACAGCATATAACCTATATCTTAAAGTCAATAAGAAAGTTCATGGCGGGTAATTTTATCTGAGCTACGTTCTGAGTGATCAGTAAACTTGATGCCTGCTGGTCGGCTCCAAGCATTGAGAGTAAATTCCGCCCGCAATAGTGAAAAGAGACGATTGTCTAATGTGTATATAAACACGCCCGTCGTTAAATAATTATGCTCGCAGCTAACACACTTTTGACACCAACATTTTTTTTTTGGAAATTTTGCTTACTTCATGTGACTGTATTTGAAAGTCTGAAGAAGAAGAAAAACATAATTTGTTTTTGTTGAAATATGAGCGTCGCCTGTACGCATTTTGACTAATTTTCGATAAACAACAACCGCTATAGTATGGTTTCATTCAGTAAAGAGAAATCACAAAGTCGTTGTCTCCACAGTTAGTGCATGAAGTGATCCCATTGAAGTGGCTTCATTTCTGTCGAGTGTGTTGTCTCATCTATCGAAGTTTTGAAACCAAATTAATATTTAGTATATATAACCATTCCATGACTTGTATTTTACGAAAGAATTTGTTTGTTAAGATGAAAATATAATAAATATATTTCCACCCACTGCAAGTTTGTTTTTAATAAATACCTTCGTTGTCACATAAAGCGACGTAGGTATTATCAATGTGTCACGGTCGAGCGCCCTCTTTTGGTGACATATCCGTGAGGTTGGAATAACAACGTGGCGACGTCATCATGAATTAGACAGTTTTTATATAAGTTTTAGTCTTCACTTTTTTATCATTGCCTTTTTAGTTTTGGTATATCTTTATTTTTAATGAATAGGTAAGGTTATAAACATGCAAAATTGTCAATAATCAACATGCTGTTAAGTTGTTTCGTTAACTGTAAGATCACAGTCGTCACATGACACGCGTACAAACTTCGTCACATGTAACCAAAAATTTTACACTCATATCAAACATCACGCGGTGCGACGATTGTGTGACTTTAAAACATTGTATATTGTAACAATCTCAACCAAATAAAGACACTCAAATATGATGTGTTTGTTTTCTTTCTCTCCACTGTTAGTCAAGTTCTCGCATTCATACAATTCAACTCGTACGTGGTGTGATAAACGCGAACAGTTGAAGTACCATCGTCAGGGTGACACCCATGGTCGTTCCTTTCAGCGACACGACCTTATTAATTGATATCACTCCGCCACGGCTGAGTACATTTGATAACAATGGTAGCTTGTTGTAAATCCGGATTGTTAAAATATGAAGAATGAGACACGGTTTAGTAAACAGACATTCTTGAACGAGCCGACAGCTAGTCTCCTCTTTCAAACGTAGCAATATTTGCGAGGACCCGATTACCCTCACCTAGGCATTGTTATTGCGCGATTCCGATGATGCTGGTGAACCATTCTGTTTGCGGGTGCAACCAGTCTCAATAAAATACCGCAAAAATACAAACTTTTAATGCGATAGTTCGCGAGAGTCTAAATATTCCAACACACCCGTGTTACCACATGCAACGCCAATATTGTAAGAACCCCTTCGAACTACCTCTTGTTTACGTACCTGTTTAGTCCATTTAATGAAGTATCCTGAATTAAACTTTCCATTTTACAGGCGGCTGTAAAAGTCACCAGAGCACAGATAAACATAAGTAATAACATTTCATTGACCCTATCACGGGTATTAAATTGCACTCTCGTCAATGACACGCCACACCTCATAACGCATCTTATAGGAATTCCGAATTCTATACCCCGTGGGTTGCATCAAACGACGCTTGCCTCATCAGTAAGTGGCCTTGCCTCCTTCAGTGACATTTTAATGCTTGTTAAAACTATAGTACATTGTTGTACATGTATGTATGTCGATTGTTAGTTTACATACATGTGTCAATACAGTACTATTATAACCGTCGTGTCTAGGTAAACATTTAAACATAAGCCATAACAACGTGCAGGTCGTGTACCGAGTTTCACAGTGCGGTCAGATCAAGACTTTGCAGATTTATTTTTAAAAAAATCATTGTATATAGCAATTGTCAATGGTTACCAAATCCAAGGCCTGCATTCAAGTTTGTTCTGTCAGCAAAATAAGAATACTATAATAAATGCTGCTAGATACACTGTAACCTCAATATAATGAACACCTTTATAATGAAGTTCCTGATATAATGAACACATAGCCTGTCTTCCGCTTACAACAAACCCAATGTATTATGTGCTTCATTATAGTGAACATTTCACTATAACAAACTAATTGTATGTCTCCCAAAGAGTTCGTTATAACGAGGCTACAGTGTAGTTGGTGAATAACACGATCAAAGTATAGGCCTTATAGAAGATATCAAGTATTTGAATGATTTAAGTTAAATAATCTTTATTAACACTTCCACTTGCAATAAGATAATTGATATAAACTATGTGACCTTGGGTCGGGGCCGGGATTGTAATTAATCAAAAATCACAAGAACAGGGCAGTAGTTGAGAAAATAGTTTGAATTGAAATCGATTGGCTAGAAAATCCACGTATACTCTATTAAGTTTGTATTTATTTTTGTGAATGACAACCAAATACTATTGTATCGAGGACGTGAGATTTCTGTTCAGCTTTTTAATTCGATATTCATTAACATGTTTTTCCAGAGTCATAAACTAAGTACAAGTTTCAAATGATGACAAATAGTGTCATAATTTTAAAAACAGTCAGTATAATGTGCCAGCCCAACACCAATACGACCACACGTAGATGAAGGCATTCAGTGCAGTGTACCACACCACCCCAATACTTGAACGAACACACGTAGGGGAAGGCAGTCAATGCAGTGTACTACACTACCCCAACACATACATGAACATACACTTCGCCTTTTACGTCATGTTATCATGTGTACTTTCGTTTTCTTCACGCTAGCGTAAATCTGCACACACACTAGACAAGACAGAACTCGCAGAACGAATCCTGAAAGATACGGAGGCAGTTTACCCATTACAACTCGCATCAATAGTGTGTTCTACATCTTTGTAACAACCATATGAGTTGGCATTCCACAAACGCGCATTTAAAATAAAATAAAACTTTGAAACAAACAAGAATTACGGTATGTGCAAATTAAAATAACAATACACATCAGGTTGCCCGGCGTAACTCGACACTCGATTAAATTTCGAGTTATTAAATGTGGACGTTAAACAACAAAAGACATTGCCCGTTGTTTTGCAAAAGTGCATTCCGTAGTGGTTTCAGCAACTCATTCAACATAGGTGCAAATAGTAACATGAGTACAACAGCTATGGAAATACAATATTTTATAAATTTAATTCATAACATTGAATTAAACTTGCCATTTTCCGATGTCAAGAAAAGTGGGAATTCAGTGAAATTATTATTGAATTAAAAAAAAAATCAAGAATGCCAGCAATTCAGTCTTTTAGTTTCAAATATTCTACGAATAAAATTGTCCCGAAAAACTTACCAGTCAACATACAATGTGGGTATTGCTCTACTCGTTTATCGTTTGTCGTGAATGGACATCATCTATTAAGAGATGAATACTGAATATTTAGAATAGCCTATCGCTCTTGTGGGCCATTAAGCACATCCATTAGAGTCACTGTGACCTCATTGATGTTGAGGAAAATTAAAGTAGTTTAAATCAGAGGACACATGCGCTTAGAAATTACATCTGTGAATTCATGTACCAGTGGTCTGTCTGTTTTTGTTAACGTGCATTGAGCATTCTGCCTTGATGTTGAAAGGAAAACTATTTCAGCCACTGTATACCAAATAATAAATCAATTAGTTTAAATTGGCATTAAAAAAAAAAAGATGAGGTAGCATTTAAGATGCCTACTTATGATTTAAATTACCGAAAAATTCTTAATTTTTAGGGCAATATACAAATATTGACTTTAAAAATGTTGGGGGTCAAAAGTTTAATAAGGAGAAAATGATGGTTGTATTTCAGTGGATAGTGGCCATTTTGGCAGTATTATAGTCTTTTGCCATAGGTTCCTATGGCAGAGATATTATGCCATATCTCAAATTGTAGGTTGGTGGCATAGACTGAATTATGTATTGTAAATGATGGGGTATTTTTTGTTCTCAATTATTTCGAAAATCTGAGTTTTAAAAAGTTTTAAAAAGATTATATGGACAACTTTCTCAAAATACGTCAGTGTAGCACACAAAAGAATGCTATGTCACGAGACATAGCTGTGCCATGAGGCAAAGTCTTCGTGATTTTACACAATAAACCAATGAACAATGTCATGCAAGGCAGAATACTCAATGTAAGTTAATATAAACCGTTATATTTTTTAAACCACTTTAACTCTTGTCATTTCTCTTTACAAATGTGTCAGTA